ACAGAACAGAGCAAGGCGACCATTTGAGCCTATAAAACTGAAACTTGATTTTTTTTTTTTTTAAATGAGCCATTGTTGTTTTTGTATTGTTGTTTTACTATTATTCTTATGGTACATATTTGAATGTGTATTACTGCCTTGTCCTGCCTTGCTATGACAAGTCCAAATTTACCTCAGTTTTTGTTTACTACTGGACTTGATTAGTCCAAGGAGCACTTTGAATACTTGTTCTATTTTTGCTGTATACTTAATACATATATAATTGTTTACATTTTGGAAAATAAACAACTTTAATTTAATCTATGTACATTTTGTGGAAAAGTAGTTGATTTTTGAGTGTATTTGAACACTTTGTATATTGACCCCCCAAAATAATACATTGACACCCCTTTGCCACCCCTGTTTTAAAAGTCTATCTCAGCCACTGGGCAGGAGATGCAACAGCAGCAGGACAGATGACATGTCACTGTCCCAATCTGAATAAGTAGATGTTAAGGGATTGGTGGGCAATTTAAGAATTGTTTTTTTTTGCTTGAATGCTGTCTCCCACCTCTTAAGAAACATGTTGGATGTTTCAGCATTGAACAGCAGAGCAAAGTCCTGGTTAATCAAATGACAAAGCATATTACAGGATTGCTAAGATGTTAAAGTTTTAGTTGCCTGGTATTCTTCAAGCACTTCCTCACCACCAGATTTTTTCCAGTGCATCTCAGACAATCTGATTAAACATGACCACATACAAAATGGTGAAAGAATTATAAGGACAAGTTAACCATAAGAAAAAAAAAACATACGTACCCACTTGCATTTTCAGCGTCTAGTTTGTCACTTCCTGGGTTAACTTCACGTGGTTTGTCATTGGCATCATTGCTGAGATATTTAAACCGATTAATTCTTCGATTTAATTCAAGGTATGTAAACTGTTTGTCTACCTTGACCAGATGCTGAATGTACAATGAGAGGTCAGCGGACACATTGCCTTCAAACAAATCATGTCCAATACATGGTGGCAATCCAGGTTGACATACATGAAAATTGGATAACTCATTGAACAAGGAGTCAAATTTGATACCTCCACTATGAGCTAACCCCCCTTTAATTCTCTGCACGTGTTCTCCATATGACTGTACTGTGCAAGTAGTGGCCCTACTGAGTGGATCTGCATGGAATGTCTCTCTCTCCATTTCACAATATCAGCAGAAATGTATACTTGTGCTGACATTCTCAAAGAATCCTCCAATGTTATGGGACCCCAAGTTGTCTCCACAAATAGCATGCAGTATTCCTTTACAGACTTGTCCATCTGGTAACACTATACCACTTTTCTCAAGTTCTTTCAGATCTTTAACCAAGCGACCCAGGACTAAATCCTGGCCAAAATGTTTGAAGTCTTTCTCTTTGCAAAGAAGAACTAATTCGCTAGTTGCATGACAACGGAAATGGAATTTCCGGTTTGTCTGTGGTGGGCTGGCACTCGCTTACTTAACCGACCGTTCAGCGTAGTGCAAAAGAAAACGGGTGTTGTACCGAATTCCGACTCTCGGACAAATCGCACGCCCCTTCGCGTGCACGCGCCTCGCACATAAACGCGCTGAAGCCAGTTTGAATGCACTTCCTTTGCATGCCTTTATCGATTGATTTTTCACACATCAAGCACCCAGATACTGCATGAAAGCTTTGTCTACACTTACAAAAATTAACAGACAGTGAACTAGAGTGGATAAAAGATGCAAACAAACAAAAATGCATGGGAGATCGATTCAAACTATAAACTTCGACAGGTAAAGCTACCATAATAAAGCTGTACCAGCTGTCAAAACATAACTGTTAATTTAACATAATTTAACTGAATGTAACTTTTGTGTGTAAAACACGATGTGATAGGAAAATATAGTATTCCTCTCCCCATTATACATGTCATTAAAAATAATAATGCTTCGAGGCTTCGAATCAATCCGACACCCGTCTCCGTGGTGACACCTAGTGGTCAATTGCAGGTGTTGATCTGAAACAACCTTTACAACAATGTGTTTTTTTTTATTATTGTATTTTTTAAATATGTGATGCTTGTAACCTGTAGTCTCTTCACATTGCATAATGTTATTTTGGTCATGAAAAATTAATATTAATAAAACAAATCAAGCCACAATGTCTCACTTTCTTATAGATTTTTATTTAAAAATATTAATTTCTCTTCTGTTCTTTCTATTAATCTGTCTATATTGTGCACACAGAATGCCTATTCTTAAAGTCTTGTGCTGTTTTATGAAGGCAAAAAGCCATATAATGGTTTCGATTTTAGTTAATTGGCAAAATATAACGCTAGAGACAATATATATATATATATATATATATATATATATGTATGCATGTATATGTATGGGGGAGGGGGGTGGGTATTTTGAGCAAAAACAGGCCTGTCACGAACAGCTACAGTGGCGTAGATCGTAGAGCGCTTAGTTCTTGAAAGAGCAATTGATGTGCTTGGCCTCGAGTTCGAGCCTGGCTTTTGCCGAACATGAGATGTAAAAAGTATAAACTAACATTGTCTCTAGCGTTATATTTTGCCAATGAACTAAAATCGAAACCATTATATGGGTTTTTGCCTTCATAAAACAGCACAAGACTTTAAGAATAGGCATTCTGTGCGCACTTTGCTCACGCGATCCGTCCCGACTGACCTATCAATCATACCCTGATTCGGCGGAGCACTCCACCTGATGAAACACTTAGAAGCTTCATTTAGCCTTTGTCACGTGACTGTGGGTGTTTTGAATCGTGCTTCGGATCAGTGTTTCGAATCATTTTTGCTTCGGGATCTCGCAAAGCTTCGGAACGTCTGTTTCGCGTCAGCCATTCCTAGTGTGACTACGAGTTTGGATTATCCTCTAAATAAATACTGCTTTTGGATTTACCCCTGTTTCCCGTGTGTGGATCGTGACAGAAGGACTCCGTCACACCCTAAATCCTGCGGTATGTTTTCAAACTTCTCTTCCCCAGCCACTGAGCGGGAGAGGAGAGATTATTTTCATGGAACCCGTCTAGTCATTTTTCGTAAGGACCCGGGGAGGTCGCAGAGGAGGAGGTGGTCGAGAAGAAGTTCAACACCACTCTCCACCCTGGCCCCCCTTCGAGACTATTCCCGAGCCGGTGTCTGTTCCCGAGCCGGTGCCTGCTCCTGAGAGAGCATCTCCACCCTGGCCACCCGAAGGGTCTTCACCGCCCTGGCCGCCCGAAGGGTCTTCACCGCCCTGGCCGCCCGAAGGGTCTTCACCGCCCTGGCCGCCCGAAGGGTCTTCACCGCCCTGGCCGCCCGAAGGGTCTTCACCGCCCTGGCCGCCCGAAGGGTGTTCACCGCCCTGGCCACCTAAAGGGTCTTCACCGCCCTGGCCACCCGAGGGGTCTTCACCGCCCTGGCCACCCGAGGGGTCTTCACCGCCCTGGCCACCCGAGGGGTCTTCACCGCCCTGGCCGCCCGAAGGGTCTTCACCGCCCTGGCCACCCGAGGGGTCTTCACCGCCCTGGCCACCCGAGGGGTCTTCACCGCCCTGGCCGCCCGAGGGGTCTTCACCGCCCTGGCCGCCCGAAGGGTCTTCACCGCCCTGGCCACCTGAAGGGTCTTCACCGCCCTGGCCACCCGAGGGGTCTTCACCGCCCTGGCCACCCGAGGGGTCTTCTCCGCCCGAGGGCTCTACGCCGCCCTGGCCGCCCAAGGGCTCTTCGCCGCCCTGGCCGCCCGATGGACTCTGTGTCTCGCCCTGGCCGCCCGATGGACTCTGTGTCTCGCCCTGGCCACCCGATGGACTCTGTGTCTTGCCCTGGTCCTTGGTTAAGCCCTCACCCCTTGTTCCTGTCTCCCTTCACGGACCTGGCCCACCATCCCTTCCCCTGATCCTCCACCATTCCACCTCCCTCCTGAACTCTTGTGTCATGTTTTTTAATGTTGTCGTGGAGCGTCTGGTAGCCGCTCCGTAGAGGGGGGGTTATGTCACAGTGTCTGGATGTGTTCCCTTGTTTGTCCACTAGATGTCCTCCTTCCCCACTGTGTCATTCACTTCTGGAACTGCTTTTCCCATCATCCTGTTCTGTCACTTACTGATCATTGCACTCAGCTGTTCCCCGTAATCATTGTTCCCAGCTGTTCTGTGTTAGTCTTGTTAGAGATGTGTTTATATACCAAGTCTTGTTCAGTGTGTTTCACGGAGTCCTTGTATTTTGTGTGACACCACTTCTGGTCTGTGTTCTGGGGTGTATTCCAGAAAGCAGGTTATGTGACTTACCCGGGTAAGTTTAGGAGTAAGTAAGCGGATAACCTCTGCTTTCGGTTCCAAAAGCGAGAGTAACTTTCGGGTTATGTAAGTAACCATAGCAACTGACTCTCTGAAGATAACCTGCTCCGGAGTAGGTTATGTTGCAGGGTTAGTTTGTTTCAGAGAGGTTTCAGAGCATGGCGTGCCCTTTTGACGAGGATCCTGTGGACGTAGAGGCACAGATTATACAGGGTTTTTTTCGCCGAGAGAGGGTGATAAGACCACGTATCGATGTCTTTTCATATCCTGACGAATATTTGCATGAGCGCTATCGTTTTTCTAGGGAGTCGTTAATTTATTTAACAAACTTACTAAAACCACACATCGCAAACGTGACAAACCGCGGGTCAGCGATTAGCGCCGAACATATTCTTTGTATTGCTCTGCGCTTTTTTGGTACGGGGAGTTTTCTCTACAATGTGGGCGATGCAGAGCATGTGGGAAAGGCAACAGTGTGTAGGGCCGTTCGTACAGTATGCATGGCACTGAAACGGTTTCTACACACTTTTGTACAGTTCCCTGGCCATAAACCTGTGCGCGTTATTAAAGAAGAATTCCACAGGGTGGCAGGTACACTCTCAGAAAGTCTGTCATCTACTTCAATAAAATGACATTTCTTAATAGGTTTATTTTGACTGGACATGCACGTAAAAGGTTACACAGACTTCTTAAACTCGTAATTAATCTTTATTTCAGGGTTCCCAAACGTGATTGGGTGCATTGATGGCACCCACATTCCTATTAAAGCTCCATCTATCAATGAGGGAGACTATGTTAATAGGAAGTCTGTGCATAGCATCAATGTGCAGGTAATAGCTATATTTTTTGTTACTTAATATTGGGGTTACCAATAATAAACTTATTGTTCTCCACAGGTAATATGTGATGCAACCCACCTCATCACTAATGTTGAGGCAAAATGGCCTGGTTCTGTACATGATGCCAGAATATTTAGAGAGTCATCTCTGTGCAACAAATTTGAGCAGGGTACGTTTTGTTAGACAAATGCTTGTAGTCTTTATTACATTTACAAAACACCTCAAACATTACAGGACACTTCTATGGTTACTTGCTGGGGGACAGAGGATACCCTTGCCTCCCCTATATGATGACACCCTACCCTGATCCTGAGCCCGGACCACAGACACGCTTCAACCGGTCTCACAGCCGAACACGGGCCAAGGTGGAGATGACAATAGGCATTCTGAAGGCGAGGTTTCAGTGTCTGCGTGGGCTCAGGGTCACTCCAAATAGGGCATGTGACATCACAGTCGCTTGTGTGGTACTTCACAACATTGCCACAATAAGAGGAGAGAGGCATCCCCCTGTCCTGATGAAGAGGACCTAGAACAACACCCAATGAATCTAGCAGACCACAGAGATGGCAGAATGCTTAGAGACATGATTTGTCAAAATCACTTTATTTAATTTCTTTTATTTCTCCAGATCCTGAAATAAAGAGACATGACAGATTTGTATTAATTGCTTTATACACACACATGAAAAAAAAAAAAAAAAAAGATTCATGTTCACATATGATTCTCACCTTAAGGCGATGCTCCAGCAATTTGATTTCAAGTTTGGCCTTTTTAATGGCCAGCCTTTTCTCCTCTTGCTGAAGCTGTATAAGGTCCATGTCCATGTCACTTTTTTTAATTTGCCTTAATAGATGGACCTTATACAGCTCCTTTGCAGACAACTAGGAAGGCAAAGTAAATAAGATGGTTAAAAAAGAAAATCAGCCATAGTAACATTATGTGATAAGGACAACCAGGGACAAGTTCTTACACTGCTAAGATTAGATGTAGAGGTAGTTGGACCCTCATCTGCATTTACATCCCCAGCTACATTCTGTCACGGGACAAATTACACATTTTTCAGTCCATCTAAAAAGCTATGCATTGTCCAATATATGCATCATACCTCTGTGGGTCTCCCAGCACTTTCTAATTCAGTCACAGCAGATGTGGTCTCTTCATCATCATCCTAGAGTGGAAATATGCAAGGTTACTTTGTCTGGCAGACATAGTGAAAGATCTAAAAGCAACTGGTTCTTAAAATGCATCACTAACAATAGTGACAGACTGTGTGGTTTCAGGAGGATCCAATAATACAATGCGTCCATCAGCAACTGCAAGAAAAAAAAGACACTCAATGTGTAAATGACTAAAGTATGACAGACACTGAATAAAGGCATTAGGAACATGCAAGAATAAAAACAGATTACTGTATACATACAGCATATGCTGAAAAAGAGAATATGAAGAGTTCAGATGCAAAAGCCTCTAAATGCCATTTAAAATTTTCTTCTTTAATGATGATTTTTATCAAACTTGTATATTTAAGTTCAGTAATTTCACTTAAATAACAATTAATAGGTAATTATCATTGCAATTTAAGTGAAATCACTGAACTTAAATATACAAGCTTGATAAAAATGATCATTCTAGAAGAAAATTTCAAATGGCACTTAAAGGCTTTTGCATCTGAACTCTTCATATGTATCCATAATGCACAAGTGAAACAATGACTGCATTTGGGAAGCATTTAGCCTTCTTTCTAATGACAAGAGTTAAGGATTGTTTTGTCCAAACATATGATTAAATAATCACAAGTACTATGGTATACCTACATTGTACCAAGTCACTTGAGTTGTTGTGGGAGGAAGCAAATTCTGACGAAGTGCCCTCTGGAATACCATCGACCACAGGGCGACCTTTATTAAGAGAAAGAGCCAACTCCTCCGATGGAGTGAGAGGAGGTGGAGGTGGACCCCACATGCTAGCAGAAAGTAACATATTTTAGCAATAGTGTAAAAATGAATAACACATAACAGGCACAATACCGATAAACATGAATATCTATTGGTACCAGAGAATGTCTAATTGAAGAGAATTGGCACTGGATGGTTACTTCCGGGTTCTGGACTGGCTGCAGTAACGAGTCTCTGTCCATGCGGGGGCGCTCGCGGTCGAGTGCAGAATGAATGGGAGTCTTTTTTTTTTTTATTGAACTTTTACTTATTACAACAAACAATAAAGAAATCCAACAAAGAAAGAGCGTATGACAATCTCAAAATGTACAATACAAATACTAATGTATTTCAAACCAAGATTCACACCTCCCGCACATCATCCAAAAAGACATCCTCTGCACTGATCACATGACAAGGGAGAACAAATAGACTTAAGGAGCTCAAAACACTAAAAAATAAATAAATAAATAAATAAAAAAGAAAAAAAAGGAAAATAGAGGGACTCAACTCATTTGAAGTGTCACTAAATGGTTTTACAATTTCTTAGCCTGGGCATTCTCAACCTTAATGAGACAGTTTTGAAATGCAGACCATGAGGGGGAGGACTTAGCAAATCGACATTTATGTATATAATATTTTGTAGCTATAATTAGATTATTGACCAAAAATTCGTCATTTTTATTTTGTAGAATTACACCCATCTCAATATTTTGATATGAAAGGAAATCTATGTTTATGGAACTGGAGGACAACATGGTGTGAAGAGATTTCCATAAATTTTGAACCATTTGACATTCATAAAACAGGTGTTCAGTTGTTTCAACATAAATATTGCAGATATGACATTGTGTACTTCCAATTTAAATCTTTTCTTTATAAACTCATTAGAGGGATATATGTTATTTATTGTTTTAAAATGTACTTCCTTAAATTTGGGAGGAATTAGCCTTTCGCCGAGCCCCGCCCCCCTTAGTTACTGTTGCTACCTCCGTCAAACAAATGGTCAAACACGGGCAGCGCGACAGATTGCCATGACGGCAAAGGGTATTCCCGTGCGTGTCAGTGACCTTTTTTGGAGCAATACCTCCGCGATATCAAGCAAGATCGAAGCAAAAGGGGTTACGGTATGCGGTGGAGGGATTTATTCCAAATATAAAATTAAGAAATGAATGAGACACGACTACTATTGATGCTAATGCTTACCAGTCTCAAGAAAAATCAGAAAAACCCCATGACCATGCTAAGTTACCTCAAATGCAACCAGCACAGCCTTGAAGATTTTATAAACTGGTTCAGTGGCTAATTGTTTGGAGTTCGAAATATATAACTTGCGCTGCATTTTTATTCATGTTGCCTCCGATACAGGAGTAGCACGTTCGCTTTAACAAGCAGGTTGTTCATTAGCACAGCAACCGATTGCGTGTCATGCTCATGCTGAATGCGATTTTCGTGTTTAAAAAGTAACTAACGTTATGCATAAGAGACGGAAAGAGGCAGAGAACCATACGTTATTTAAGGTTATTTCTATTCGTTACGATATTGATATATGAACTGATGTTGTCATGTAAGCTTCATGCTTTCCCCGTTGCGAACGTCCTCTAAACTGTAGTCTACGGTGCTGCACTGCTAACTTAGCTGACTGCTGCTCATTTTCCCAGAGAATATCATGGTATGTTAACAACAACCCTTTAGAAAATGTACAGTAAGTCCTTTGTGGATCCTCTTGATCTGCTTTCTCCGTGCTTCTTTGACTAATCTCAGTCGCACGCACGCTGCACGCGAGACGAGTTAACCATGTTCGACACATTTAACTGGAATTGGGGCGTCCACACTGTTTAATACATCTTAGGCACCGCTCGCGTTGTGTTTTGGGCTTTGAAAAAGGGAAAAAACACAACTTCTCCAGACAATCTCTCGGGGTATCATGTGTCCGATTTACAAACGCCGTGGGCGCACCGCTTACTGTTTGACGGAACAGCTCACACAGTAACGGTTGCTATGATGTGTGATTGGACAATGGCCATTTTGTGGGAGGGGCCGGCGAAAGGTCAATTGAGTCAATGGGGTTTCATCCCCAGAAATCCACTTTTCTCAGGATGTAATTTTTTGTCAAGTAATTTGAACGTTGCATTCAAAAGGGAGGGCTAAGATAATACACTCAGCTGAAAATTGCATTTTTAAGTTCACTTATCTGTTCTAAAATCCATTCAAAACTGTGATGACGTCACACAATAGCAGAATGCTAGCGTGATCTGACCAACAACAGCCTAACCTGTAAGACATCAAAAGGACATAAGTACTCGTTCATTCAACTTTTGGCCTATAATCTATATTGAACTTGCGGAATCAACAATAAAATCTATTTTGATTTAACGACAAACAGGTGAAAGAGACACATTTAGCCGTTTAGCCCCATAGACTCCCATTCATTCTGCACTCGCTCATGATCACCTCCAGTGGAATTATAATGGAACTGCAACCAGGATGATACACAATGGGGCTAAGGAAGTGCCAAGGCTCTCCGTTAGACGGGCTCTGTTGGTACTACATGGATCACATGACTAAACTTACGTCATCGTTTTGAAATACCTCCGGTTTCACTGTCCACACTACAACGCGAAAACGGCGTTTTCAAATTTATTCACTTTGGAGAGCGTTTTCCAAACGATACGTTTTTGTTGACTTAAAACGGCGTCTCAGTGTGGACGGAAGGCCAAAACGGGGAGAAAAATATACGTTTTCAAACGAAAACGTATTAGTGTGGACATGGCCTCAGAATCACTGTATCATGATACTGTACTATTGATATAATGGACACAATTGTATTGTAGTTGTGAGTACACCAGAGTTCTATGCAATTAGTATTGCCTCACTATGCTCCTTATTTTTGGTGTTATGGAAATAGTAATGATGTGTCGTTCATGAACGATTCGTTCATTTTGAACGAATCTTTAATATGACTCGGGACTATCGAGTTGTCTCAGGGAGTGATTCGTTCATGTTGTGTTACCCGCGCATGCGCATTGCGCAACATATGGATTCTGAATCTGTACTGGAAACAGAAATGATTAGTTCATCTCTCGAGTTCGGGTTCGGCGGGTCCGAGTCTTTCGTTCTTCCTGTCAGTCCCATTGAGCCTATGCTGTCAGACCACCGGAAAGAGGAATGATTAGTTCATTTGAGTCTTCGGGTTTGAGTCCTTCCCTTCGTTCTTTAGTCACGTGAATTGTCACCGTATTGAATACCCAAATTCACAAACTTTTTACAAACGAATTCACAAACCTTTTACAAACAAGCACGTAGATGATGTATAATATAATAGTAGTTAATTAATGTACAATATATATAATAAAACACACCACAGATGCATAACAGAGACGTCAGAGTCAGTGGCAAACATCAGGATGACTAGCCGAGGAAAGGCTGTTCCCGGCGGGGGACACGAGCGCGAGCGTCCGGTGATCGCTTGGAATGGATCTCAGTCAAATTATCATAAATCTATAAATAAACCACAGATTTGAGCTTTAAAAAACTACTTTCTCGCCTGAAAAACTCTTAAAACTACAGTTCGTGACACAATAACACTGGTATTATAGTTCAACTGTATGCTTCTAATGCCCTTGTAGCACACGTGAGTGACGATACTCTGTCCACCAATCAGCGTTCTGCAGTGAGTCTAGCTCCACCTTTTATTACCGAACCACTGTGCTAGGTACCCCAACGGAAGGGTACCCAAAAAGTGGTACGGTACGGTTCAGCTTTTTGGTACCATTCACAACTTTTGACAGTGGAAACGCAAATAATTGCGTACCGAACTGTACCGTACCGTACCACTCAGTGGAAACGAGCCATAACTGTCATCCTTCCTCTTGTTGACTTCCTTCCTCTTGAGCAGCTCCAGTCATTTCTGTTTCACCGCTGATTTCGACTGCGACATTTCTTTCTGCTCCAATACTTGCTGCTGTTCTGCCTGCTCTGGCCATTCCCCTTCCTCTGCTCACTGGTCTTCCTCTTCCACTCACTCCATCTACTTTTTTTGCCCTTCCTGCCCCTTTTTTTCCACAAAAAGTGTTCTCGTCGTTTGATAAAGTTAAGATTGAGCCACTGTAGTCACTTGGACTATTTTAACGATGTCTTTAATGACTTTTAGATGCCATCAAGTGTCATTGCCTCAAGAAGCCTATGGACGATTATGCAGGAGTGATCTTAATATCTTAAATATCTTCATTTGTGTTCCGAAGATAAACGAAGGTCTTACGGGGTTGGAACAACATGAGGGTGAGTGAATACTGACAGAATT